GATAACTTTGTTAAAAAGAAAATTGATATTTTTTTGGAATTCTGATTTATTTGAATTTAAATTTTTGATTAGATTACATAATTTTTTGCCGAGTTTATCAAATGTTTTTATTTCTTTAGAGGAAAATAGAAAAAAAAAACATGTTTCAAAATAAGTATCCACGATCTTCATTTCCAATTCAACTTCTCACTCTCATTGATATATCAGAACTGTTTAACCGTATAATTATTTAACCATCTGCAATTCTATAAAAAAACAACAGTTACGTTAGGTAATCTTTTAGTTTTGGCTTTCTGGGTTTTTATCCTCAATTTCTCAAACTCCATAGATCTCTAATTTGAGATTCTTTTTTGCAATTATGTTTCAGGTATTAAGGGCTGTGATTGCTTATAAGATAGAGCTTTCTGTCACACTAATAACTCAATTAAACCACGTTTCTGAGATGGAAGATGAAAGCTTGAATTGCATGTATGTGGCAATTTCAAACAATGATAAGCCTGAATATGTTGGTGGACTTGATTTAGTACTTGTGAATGATAAGGTATATTAGCTTATACAAGGTTTTATTTTGTTGTTAATAAGAGTGCTTTTCAACCTTTAAACGTTTTGCTCTTTTGAATTATTTGCAACTCATATAACAAGTATTATCTTTAATATATGCAACTCATATAGCAAGTTTAGATTTTTTTTTGTGACCACACGTATTTTGTTGTTAATCTACTTTGCAAGCTTTTCTTCTTCAAAATACATTTCAGTTTCCTTTTGTTGTTATTATGATAGGGAGATTGTAAACAAACTTACATAAGAGGAAAATTGATATCCAAATTCCAAAGTGTATTTGAAGAAGGAGAATGTTGTTTTTTCAGGGGAAGTACACATGCTTTCAAAATATTCTTCACTTAGTCAACACATGTGAAGCCTTGCCAAGATATTCCAAACCAGTCACTACGTTTCAATTTCATTCCCTTCAATGAACTACTCTCACAAAAACATGACAAGAAAATTTTCGCCGGTACGTTTAAGCACTAACATCATATCTTTTAAATTGTTGTAAAAATTTCAGTTCCATTGTTAACACTAAAAAGTCGTATCTTTTCTTTTCAGAAGAATCATACTTCAAAGCATATTTTGGGAAAAGAGGTTTAGATAGAAATAATTGACAGATAAAATATAGATTGCAACATGATTGAAATTTGTAACGATTTGTAGATCAAAAATATTGGGATGAAATAGAATTTATTTTTCTTATATTTTAGTTCTAGGTTTTAGAAAGATAGAGAGAAATCAGCTCGAAGTGTCAACATTGATTTCTTTTCTTCTTTACTCATTAGACTGCAATAAGCTAGAGTAATATATATCAGAAGAAAAAGAGGAAGATAAGCATAAAACATTCTTCAGCTCGAAATGTCAATAATGATTTTATTATTTTTTTCTTTTATTTATCAGTATTTCTATCTTTTTCTAACTAATCGATAGTTATTTTAAAATCATATAATATATTTCAGTGTTGTTATATATAAATATTTTCAATAAGTAATGATGTTTGTTCTTTAGTCTGTTATGCAATTCTTTAATATTAATATATTATAATTTCACACTATTAATTTTAATTTGTTTTGATTTTAACATATTAGCGTATACAAATCTGATAGATAATTTTGTTAATGACGTATAGCACGGACTAAAATACTAGTATATATATATATATATTTAACTTAGGGTACATTTCAGATCTATTGAAAGATCTAGACTAATTTTTTCGGGAAGGTGCAGTTTATGGAGAGAATCTCTCTCCGGATATTCAAATGAGCCAAAAGCAAAAACCCATATCCAGGTGGTCAAATAAGAAAAATGTTTAATAATTTCACGTTTGAGAGAAACCGATCCCTGGCCTAGACCAACAAGGCAATTTCTCCCTAAATAGAAATTCAGAAAAATATATACCATCTATAAAACAGCCACAAATCTTTCCAGATTTACAAAATAACCCAAATATTTTGCTAGTTTCAAAACTACCTAGTAATTTATGTATTTACAAAGATTCCCAAAACTAAAAGACTTCTGGAATATGATTGGTAGATGATTTGTAATGTTTTATAATGTGTATAGTTTTGGAATGTGTATGATGTGTAATGTTTTATGATTGTACTTACAATTGTTTTGGGATTTAATTAGTGTTATGTATATAGTAGTATCTGTGAGAGCTAGTACTGGCGGTCGAATAAAGGATTGGAACGAGTAAAAAATGAATCCACTAATGATTCAACAATTCATTCGGTTATACTAGATGTATATTACATGTAACTTATGGTTCACGAAAACGAGAGTACGCATCCGTATACGCCATTGGAATACGAAAACGATAGTACGCATCCATTACATACGCCATTGGAATACGAAAACGATAGTACGCATCCGTTACATACGCCATTGGAATACTATATCACTCTGTATGGTTGTCGAGAGAATAGAAGTACATCAAATTTAATTAAGGCTTCGAGGAAATGTAATGGTCCTGCTTTGCTCCATACATGTTACCTATACGTCAGAGATTATGATTACACCACGTTGCTTTTTAGTTATATGAATATATATATATATATATATAATGAATTATCAATTCTGAAAAGTCTCTCTTGGTAAGTAATATCTGTTTGATTCTTACTGAACATATGTAGCTATTTCTATGAAATATTAGTGTGTTCATAACAAATGCGGTTAGTTTCATGTACATTCAAACTAACCCTTTAGCTTGTTCAATCGTGAAGTAAGGCTTAGGTAAGCTATTAGTCAGTGTGAACTAAGTGTTTTAAATGATACTGTGATTAGTGCTGTAGTGACGCTTAAAGCAGGTGATTAATTTAATTACATACTAGGCACATCTTCCTTATCCTCAGCCAAGTGACTGGTTTTTTTTGTGAATAATCAATCTTATGCACTTCTTCCTTATTCGCTAGGTTTTACTACAAAGTAGGGGGGTTAATCAAAACATAGTTATATAATTTCAGTAGTAAAGAGTACAAAATGTATCATTTGTATAAAAAAACCTATAATTTTGACTGGTAATTCAACCACACTGTCCAATTTGGTCATCTGTTTGAGATAAGTCGGGTTACAAATAATCCAACATACACAGATTTGTGATCCATCCATTTCTATCTTTAGTAGGTTTTAAAATTTTTAAATTGTCTAAAAACAATTTACCAAAAAAGGCGAGTAAATCATCTTTAACAAAAAAAGGGCGAGTAAAAAAAAAAGAGAAGTAAATTAGCAAGTGACTCTCGTTTCATATAATACAAAATGGTAACACGACGTTCCTCATAGACTGCGTTTGCTTAACCAAATACTCTATAAGCACTTAATACGAAATATTAACGTTGAGCAAATCACGAATGTCGATAATCACGTCGTGCGGTTAGTGGTACCATACAAGTTAGCCAACATCGAATCCCATTTGAGACAATCCACACATATGGGCTGAATCGTCTGACATGACGAGTACGATATAGTCAGCGATTGTTTTCATCGTCATAATTACGAATGAGTATATGAGTACTTCTCAAATGATGGGCTATCCACAGATTTGGTGGCTAAAAACAAATTTGATTTTTACCTCCTGGTTTAGTTTCGGCTGATCTTATCTCCGGTTGAAGTGTGGTTCGGGCTGGTTTAGGAATGTTTATCCTTTGAACTCCACTCTTTTAGCATTGTTTCTTTCTTAATTTTATGAACACATACGTCAATATGGAAGGTTTTTTTTTCTAATTTTATAACATTTTTTTATATTATTATATTTGAAGATTTCTCAAAGAGGTTCTACATCTCATCAACTTATAATTCTTTTTGTATTGTAATGATTAGTATCACTCATACCATACTAATAACTACTTCCATTAATTTTAGAATTTTCTCAACATGATTTACATAAAAGCGAAATGTACTTCATCCATAATATAGATAGTTGAATCGAATTTTAGCATTTTTTATGCATTACTTTTTCTAGAAACAAAGATATTACGTAATCAAACATCAGGAAAATTCCAACACCTAATAATACACCAAAAACTTGTTATATGTTGGAGCTTGATGTAAAAAGAAATAAATTAGAGGTTAACTTTGGTGGGAAACTTTGTGGGTTGGGGACAAAGTGGAGGAAAACTAATCCCATCAAAGCCAAAAGAAAAACAATCTATTGACAAATTAAAGTAAAAATCAAACACTAGAAAAGGATTTTGCAAAATGTAAAAGCAAGAAGATATGTGGCATTTTGACTTTTTGTTTCAAATGTTTTGCCACAACATGTATGCGATAATGAAGTTTGTACTATATGTGAAATTTAATGAGGACATCGTATTCTTATCTCCGTGCATAGTCAAATTTAAGACTTGTCACAACCACTTTCATACGAGGACCTTCAATGTTTTTCCTTATAAATACAAACGCAATCAAACAAACAAAGGCTATAAACAATATAAAATTAACCTAGTGGCGAGCTATATATATGAGAATTTATTGTTTGATTGCGTTTGTAGGAAAAATCTTTTAAATCTCATTAATTAATATGTTTTTTAAATCAAGCAAGAGGTGAAGCCAGTTAATAAATTTCTTCAAGAAATGAGAATATCAGGCCTTATATGAGGCCCTGGCCCGTGTAACTGCTACTTACACCAACATCAACATTGTTTATTTCTTGTGTACACATATTTATACTGAATTTATATTTTGTGGTAAAAAAAAACTAAAAAGTTGAAAAAACGACAGTGGTTACAAACAAAAAAAATGAATAAAAGCGACGTTGGGTCAAATCAGTTGACATAAAATAAATGACATAGAGAGGGTAAAGAGGGGCCAGTAGTTGGATCCCTATATTGTCATTTCAGACAAAAAAAGTAGGGACAACTTCGTAAATGCCCGCCGTATTATTTATTAAATTTTAATTAAAATTAATTATTTTTCTTAAAAAAACACTTTTCTTTTTTGCTTATGGCACAGCTTGTCGGTTTGCGTGCAAACTCCTTTCTCTGTCTCTTCTCTCTCTCACTGTTCGATGTTCAGACCAGACACAGATCACTTACTCTCTCTCTCTTTTAATTTCTGAGAGAACATTTGTTTTTGTTCTTCTCTCAGTGAAAAAGAGAGAAATTTGAAGACCTTTTTGTAATGTATTTTGATGAGATTCCTGTTCCGTTTTGACTGGTAAAGTTTTGGGTCTTACTTTTTGCTTCCTCCATTGTTGGTTCCCAAGTTTTCTACTCTGTCCTACAACTGTGTCCTCATAATGATTCAATCTCGCCGTGACTCTCTTCTTTGAAAAAGAGAGAGAGAGAGGGTGAGAGTGAAAACTTGCTTTTGTTTTTTTTTTTAAATTCCACCGTAAAATCTTAAAGATAAAGTTTTTTTCGTTGATTCTCTGTATTTGTGTGTTGTTCTGCAGAATTCTCAGATCTTTTCTCAACTTCTTCCTTTACAAGTCTGAAAACACTTTTTTTTTTGGTCACTGTTTCTTTTTTTCAAAATTTGCGTTCCACTTGTCTTTGGTCTTTCACTAGAATCCACGACCAAAGAGTCTTCCTTGTCTGAGAAAACAAAAGAGACAACACATTCACTTCCGTTTCTCTTAAGAAACGACGGATTTTCCGAAGAAGTTAGATTAAAGATACAGAAGAAACCAAAAAAAAGGTAAGAAGAGAAGCTCGAATCCCAGTGTGAAAGTACAAAAAAAAACCGTCGGGGAAGTCTGAAGATTTTATTATTATAAGGAAAAAGAAAAAAATGGCGATGGCTGTGGCGAATCACCATGAGAGTGGTGATAATATAAATCGGCATTTGGATAGTAGCGGCAAGTATGTAAGGTACACGGCGGAGCAAGTTGAAGCTCTCGAGCGTGTTTACTCTGAGTGTCCTAAACCAACCTCTCTCCGCCGTCAACAGCTGATCAGAGAATGTCCCATTTTGGCCCATATCGAACCTAAGCAGATCAAAGTCTGGTTTCAAAACCGAAGGTAACAATAAAACTCAAAAGATATAAACTTTTGGTTTGGTTTCGATGTTTAGATTACTGGGTATCTAGTATTCTCCCCAAAGTTGGGATCTTTTAGTGAAGATTTTGGTGGGTGTTGATTAGATTCTCCCTGAAATGGTCTCTAGATTCTCTTCATTAGTTAGTTGTAAATCTACTGTTGGCTTTCTTTGTCTTTAGGGATTAAGGGAAACAAAAATTGAATGTGTGTATGGTGATTTGTTTAGTACGTTTTAGGAGTCAAGATCAAAGACTGGTTTCAGAACCAGAGGTATCCAAAAAAGTTCAAAAGATTTGTAATTTTGTTTGGTAATTAGTGTTCTCGCCAAAGTTAGGACCTTTTGGTAAAGATTCTCCCTGAAAATGTTCTTCAGATTCTGTGTTATAGTCTTGATGTTATGTCCTGATTTGGATTTCTAGGATTCTCTTCATTAGTTAGTTGTAATTTTACTGCTGACTCACTGTTTCTTTAGGGAATAAGGGAGACAGAATTTGATATATGGGTGTGTGGTGATTGGCCTTGTACGTTTCAGGTGTCGAGATAAACAGAGGAAAGAGGCTTCGAGGCTACAGAGCGTAAACAGGAAGCTTTCAGCTATGAATAAGCTGTTAATGGAAGAGAACGATAGGCTTCAGAAACAGGTTTCTCATCTCGTCTCTGAAAACGGATATATGAAGCAGCAACTTACAACAGGGGTATGTATACAAGAGAGAAAGAACAAATCTTGATTCGTTCTGTATGGTGTTTGCGAGGTATCTGATGTTTGTGAAATTTCAGGGGACTGATGCTAGCTGCGACTCGGTGGATCCAACTCCTCAGCATTCTCTTAGAGATGCAAATAGTCCTGCAGGGTAATATGCAAAGATGAGTCGATACTAACTTCTGTTCGAATCTTTCTTGATATAACATAACTTGTGTTGTTTTTGGCAGATTGCTCGCGATTGCGGAGGAGACCTTGGCAGAGTTCCTTTCAAAGGCTACAGGAACTGCTGTTGATTGGGTCCAGATGCCTGGGATGAAGGTTATTACATGTGCCTGTTACTTATGGTTATATCTTATTCGGTTGGCAGTTTTCGTCATTTCTGTGTATTGAGAGGTGAATGAGTCATTGCTGTGCGTTTTTTTTTTCAGCCTGGTCCGGATTCGGTTGGCATTTTCGCCATTTCGCAAAGATGCAATGGCGTGGCGGCTCGAGCATGTGGTCTTGTTAGTTTAGAACCTATGAAGGTAAATGAAAGTTGCTATGTCACATCTTAAGCAGACTCCAAGATTTGGAGTTCTCAATCTCTCTTATTCTGATGTAAGCTGTTGTGTTTGTTTTTGTTACATACATTTTCAAGATTGCTGAGATCCTCAAAGATCGGCCGTCTTGGTTCCGCGACTGTCGTAGCCTTGAGGTTTTCACAATGTTCCCTGCCGGTAATGGTGGAACGATCGAGCTCGTGTATATGCAGACATATGCACCGACGACTTTGGCTCCTGCTCGTGATTTCTGGACCCTGAGATACACCACAAGCCTTGAGAACGGCAGTTTTGTGGTATACATATCTCACATTGTCTTCATGTGAAATATATATGTATTTAAATGTTGATGTGATGATGAAACTCTCTCTTTGGTTATAAGGTTTGTGAGAGGTCTCTTTCTGGTTCTGGAGCTGGTCCTGATGCTTCTTCAGCTGCTCAGTTTGTGCGAGCAGAGATGCTTCCAAGTGGCTACTTAATAAGGCCTTGTGACGGTGGTGGTTCCATAATTCACATCGTAGATCACATTAATCTCGAGGTACGTAAAGTTATAGCTAAAAGTCATTATCTTTTTCTACATGTTCATCAACATTTTTCGAAAAGAATTGATTCCAATTCACTGTTCTTGCAGGGTTGGAGTGTCCCAGATGTACTGCGACCTCTTTATGAATCATCCAAAGTAGTTGCACAGAAAATGACGATTACTGTAAGTAGATATGACTCAAGATTCTTTTAAGATTGTTCTTGTTCTATAAAATGATTATTGGTTTTTCGTATTTCGGGTCTTAGGCGTTGCGGTATCTCAGGCAAATAGCGCACGAGACAAATGGTGAAGTAGTTTACGAATTAGGAAGACAGCCTGCGGTTTTGAGAACTTTTAGCCAAAGATTAAGCAGGTTTGGTTTTATTAGCATTCACCATTTGATGCAAATGTGTTTTCTTTTGCTTCTTTAGGTTTGACATGTTTTGTGTTTACAGAGGTTTCAATGACGCGGTTAATGGGTTTAATGACGAAGGATGGTCCATGATGCACTGTAATGGAGCAGAAGACATAATTGTTTCTGTTAACTCTACAAAGCATATGAATAGTATCTCCGGTTCCCTCACTTTTCTCGGAGGTGTGCTCTGTGCCAAGGCTTCAATGCTTCTTCAAGTAAGTTCTTTATACGATTTTCTCAAAAACATCTCTGTTGCAGCTTTTGAAAGTTTTCTTGAACACTTACTTTGTTTTTCTTTGGTGTTACGTAAGAATGTTCCTCCTGCGGTCCTCATCCGATTTTTAAGGGAGCATCGGTCTGAGTGGGCAGATTTCAACGTTGATGCTTATTCTGCTGCAACACTGAAAGCTGGTGCCTTTGCTTATCCGGGAATGAGGCCTACAAGATTCACCGGTAGCCAAATCATAATGCCATTAGGACATACAATCGAAAACGAAGAGGTAGGCTTCTCTTATTTGCAGTGAGATGATATCTTTGTATCAGCATTGATCTCATTCTTTGGTTTTTATGGTTTAGATGCTTGAAGTTGTTAGATTAGAAGGCCATTCTCTTGTCCAAGAAGACGCATTTGTCTCTCGGGATGTACATCTTCTACAGATTTGTACTGGGATTGATGAGAATGCTGTTGGAGCTTGCTCAGAGCTAGTCTTTGCTCCAATCAATGAGATGTTTCCTGATGATGCTCCACTTGTTCCATCCGGTTTTCGCGTCATACCAGTTGATGCTAAAACGGTATTACCTTTTTCCTTATTCTATGACCGGTTGGTTCATAATGGTTTCTTGATCTCTAAAAAGACAGTTTCTTGCTTTGTTACAGGATGATGCTCAGGACTTGTTGGCTGCTAACCACAGAACACTAGACTTGACTTCAAGCCTTGAAGTGAATCCGGCGACAGAGAATGGTTCTAACTCGAGCTCACGGTGCATACTCACAATCGCTTTTCAGTTCCCTTTTGAGAATAACTTGCAAGAGAATGTTGCCAATATGGCTTGTCTGTATGTGAGGAGCGTGATTGCTTCCGTTCAACGTGTTGCAATGGCGGTCTCTCCGTCGGTTTCCGGTTCCAAGTTATCTCCGGGGTCACCTGAAGCTGTTACTCTTGCTCTGTGGATTTGCCAAAGTTACAAGTGAGTAGTTTCATCTTTTGTCTAATGGCGAATCTTTTCATGGTTATTAGTAGCTTTGGAAGATTCTTATGTTTCTTCTGCTTACGCTTTACACAGTCAACACTTAGGCTCTGATTTGCTGAGGACAGACTCACTTGGAGGTGATTCGTTGTTAAGACAACTATGGGATCACCAAGATGCTATATTGTGTTGCTCTTTGAAGGTGTGTGATTCTATCAAAGTTTGGTTTATGGTTTAATTCTGTTGTCTTTTCGGTTTGGTTTGGTTTAGAAAAAATACTAATATCTTTAAAATCAAATCAAAGAGTTCTCTAATTGATATTATATGGTTCTGTTTCACTAAAATCGGTTTTGGTTTCAATTTGTTTTGTATATCGTGTTGGTCTTTGAATGTGTGTTATTCTATCAAAGTTTGGTTTTATGGTTTGGTTCTATTATCTTTTCGGTTTGGTTTGGTTTGGTTTAGATAAAAAAATATCAACCTATTTGATTGATATTCTATGGTTCTGTTTCACTAAAATCGGTTTTGGTTTCGATCTGTTTTGTAAGTACAATAGTTTAACGAATACATTTTGATTCAGTTTCGGTTTAGGCATTTTGGATTCGGTTTGGTGTAAATGTCCATTCGCAGATTAACCGGGTCAGACTAAAATTCGGTTCTGGTAAAATGATATTTTTGCAGCCACAGCCAGTGTTTATGTTTGCGAACCAGGCCGGTTTAGATATGTTGGAGACAACACTCGTTGCATTGCAAGACATCACACTGGAGAAGATCTTTGACGAGTCAGGTCGTAAAGCTCTATGTCCAGATTTTGCCAAGCTAATGCAACAGGTCAAACCAAAAAACGAAGTTGTTTGTTATTTATTGATATGATTTTTTTTTTTAATTTAAAAAAAGATGTTTGCCCTGAGAATTGTTGTGGGTTTATTATAATTATTGTTGCAGGGCTTTGCTTGCTTACCATCTGGAATGTGTGTGTCGACAATGGGGAGACATGTTTCGTACGAGCAAGCTGTTTCATGGAAAGTGTTTGCTGACTCTGAAGACAATAACAACAACAACAATAGTATTCATTGTCTTGCTTTCTTGTTTGTAAACTGGTCTTTTCTGTGATCTCTCTGATCTTTCTTGTTGTGGAAACAGAGTGACCAATCAAAGTTTCGCAAAGAGTATTCTTTTACTCATTTTTGGTTGACTTAGGTTTTTTTGGGGTCTTTATTTGTAATTTATTGTTCTTGTATTTATTAGCTTTCGAAGTACTCAACTTTGCATTTACATCTCGTTTCTATAAGAACATCTCTAAGAGAAACTTCAAAACTTCAAATACTCGTTCTGTTTCAAAATAAGTGTCATTTTGACACTTTTCACACAAATTAAGAAAGTTAACAAAAGGTTTTTTTTATCTCTAATAAATACACTAAATAGCTCTCTCTTTCTAATTAATACACTAAAGTAATAAGGTTAAAACTGGATATTTTGTTATAAATTTGTATTGAAAACCTAAAACGATACTCTTTGTGAAACAAAAACAAAATTCTAAAACGACACTCTTTATGAAACGGAGGGAGTATGAAGTTTATTGCATTCCAATAGAAACTTTAAAACTTCAAATTTTGAAGTTTTGAACAGTGAATCTTCAAATTTGAAATTTTACTGTTCAAAACTTCAAATTCGCCTTTTTTTATTTCTATTTCAGTCCCTTTAATTATATACTATATAAATATATATATATTTTAGTTTTGTTGTTTATCACTTTGGTCCAAAATAATATAATTATACATCTATATATATCATTTTTATATACAGATTAAATAAAAATATTAAAATTAATTTAGAAGAAATATTACACATTATTATAAATATTTTTTATCACACAATAACAATTATACATAAAGCAAATTTAATACAAAATAAAGTAATACAAGAAAATAAATTGCATAAATATATAAATATTACACAAATTAAAATACAATAATACTAATATTTAGATAACTTTGATCCTGAACTTCCTAGGTCATCAAAAAGCTGGCCATAAAAATTTGGTATAGTCGAAAGTGGTTATTGTTCTTGAGTTCTTTTTTGTATGATTCTTGATTGTTCAGATCGAATAAACTCACATGTACTACTATCCAAGATAGTGTCTAAATTTGTCAACAATATTTTGTTTTCCTCTTGCATTTCTTTTAGGGCTAATTTTTTTGCTTGAATTTGCATACGTAATTAAGCAATCTCATAACTCTTGGCTCTAGTCGTTGTATTTTCTTTTAAGAATTCTTTTAGGGTTTACTTTTACAAATTCTTCTCTCTCTACTACCGTTCCAGTTTTCCATATATTCTTTTAGGGTTTCCGGCAAACGGAGAAATCGAAGATGGACTTTGTTGTTTTCAGGCTATCAGACATTTCTACTCGACTTCTAGTTACATTAACATGGTAAGGATTTGAAACTTATTCGCTATTTTTACTTTTGGCGAGTCTATAACATTTTCCTTTTCTGTAGGAAGAAATCCTGGAGTTGCCGCGACGGATGATTGCCACAGGCCAGAGAACTTTTGGACACAGAGTTAATAGGTATCAGAAGGCCGCACTGGTTGAGCAAATTAAAGACACACTCGACGAGTCCGAGTTTAAATTTTTCCGCAATTCACAGCTTGGACAGTTGCTGGAGATCCATGAAAAACCCACATGGTCCAGGGGATTTGGCCTGTTTCTTCTATCGCAGCAGTTGGAAGTTGCTCGGGATAACGAGATCTGGATCCTGTTTGCCGGATCACCTATCCACTTCTCGCTGAGGGAGTTCAAATTGGTGACCAGACTGCGTTGCGGAAAGTATCCGCAGAAAGAGAAGATGCAACGGAAGAACAACGAGCAGGTGAAAGAACCTTTCTATGGCAAGCTATTTGGACAAGAGGAGAATGTCACAATTCTTAGGAGGAGGTCCCCAGCTGACCGAGAGATGAGGCTGAGATATGTTTGTTTTGCGCTGGTAGATGGATTTTTGCTCCCGACAACCCATTTCCCGAAGATTAAAGTCCTGAAAGAGCACGCAGAAATGGCGGAAAATCTTGAAGAGTTCCTCGCGTATCCGTGGAGTCGTGTGTCCTTCGACCGGATGATGAATTCAATTAAGGAGAGAGACCTAGCGCAACTTGCAACAGCGGACGTCGCTGTTCAAGGTTTGTTCGTTGCGCTGCAGTTTGTTGTGTACGAGGCCGTCCCAGCCATCCTGGGATACGCCGACTCGCAAGAGGGTGATGGCGACTTTACGGAGCCAGCCTACCAACCGTCGCAGCTTAAACTCAGTCACGTGAGAGCCCTTAACCAGTCTTTGAATGTGAGTTTTTTTATTTGTATTTTTTATCTGCAACGCTGTTTTAGTTGCTTACATCCTCAAAAAATGTTAGCTTTAAATCTGGAACTGCGAAATTTAGAATGCGCATTAATGCTTTGTTGTTACGATGCTAACTGCGGAAATGGTAACTTGTTTATTGTAGGTAACAATTGTTTTGTTATCTATGACACCACTAACATTTTCAGAAATGGAATTGTTAACGAAATATCTGTTATCTTATCGTTATACTGATAAGTTCGGGTCGCTCTGTGTAGGTAGAGGTTGTCTATATTATTCGACCGGATGCGGTGATAAATCCTGAAGAGGAAGATCTGTCGTGGTCGGATGACGTGGATGATGTGCGCGTCGATAACATGGTTTGACTTATTGACGAAGGTTTTAAAATCAGGCGGGATATGTTTGTTGGTGGCAGGAAATCGGCAGAACTGGTTGATGAAGCGGCACCGAAAGTAGGCCCGAAGACTAAAAATATCTGCGGGAATAAAGGGAAATTGACAACCAAGCAACCAGGTGGACTTCAGAAGAGAACGGTCGGTCTGACGGCGTCGGATACGAACATTGCTTCAGCAGTGGCTTCGTCTGTTACCGATGCAGTAAAGGACTTGGAGGAGAGGATAGTCAGCGCCGTTATCAAGGAGCTAGTTGCTAACAACGAGATTGTTATCAGCGCCATGAATAAGTGGTTCAAAGACAACCTCAATGTCGAGCACAGAGAAGACCAACCCTCCCGAGTCATCAGCACCATGTCTGCGTCTCGAAGTTCCCGACCCTGCAGCCAGCAAGCCAAAGGTGCTGAACCCGAGGACAGAAATAATGTTGATGTGGATACGGTTGTAGCAGATATTGCCGCTAAGTATACGGAAGATGCGTTAGCGTTTGCACAGGTTAGTTGTAGAGCTATAGACACCTTTGACCTTGCATCATAAATCTAACTGTGTCCCGTCTTGAATAGGTCGGAGGTGAACGGCTGAGAAAGGGACGAGGCACTTCGTCGATCCGGCCTAACGACAAGGTTTCGCAATCCAACATCCTCAAACCAGTAAGTGAGGAAATCCTACTATCCATTAGTTTAGATACTAATTAGCACCATTATGCCATTACCACTAACTGAAAGAACCGCTAAAGTTAATTTAAATGTTGCGTTGAAAACATTCTATTATATACGATATGGTTCTTGCTGGGCCGGAACGGGATGCCGAATGGTATGCGTTAACTATACCTTAATTTGTATCATTGTCGTAGGTCAATTCAGTAGCTAACACAGAACCGGAGACTAAGACATATGTTACAGATAATCCACGTACCGTAGCCACCGAAGCGGAATTTGGACCAGCCATGGGGAGGGAGATACCGTTGTAGATGGGAATAGGTTGACTGGCGCGGGCCAGGTGAGTTAGAGCAGCTTACGTGTCTATGTTGTTCGGTTTACCGACGTATGCTGATACCTGTCCTCTCGTAGGTGTCATCGGATTTGGGAAACCCTGAGGTGAGGAATTCAGATGTCGGACCGGAAGGAACTAAGCAGGTAGTCGGGGTAAGGACTCTTTCGTTAGCATACAACGAACTTGTTAGCATCCATCAAACTTGTTAGCATCTATTAAACTTGCTAGCATCCATCGAACTTGTTAACATGAATCACATATGGTTACGTCCATCCCGGTTGTTAGCATCCATCAATATTGTTAGCACCTAAATGAACTTGCTAGCGTCTAACGAACTTGTTAACATGAATCACAAATGGTAATGTCCATCCCGGTTGTTAGCATCCATCAATCATGTTAGCGTCCATCAATCATCTTGGCATCAACCAAACGTGTTAGCGTTCGTCTCACTTGTTAGCGTCTGTCTCCCGTGTTAGCATTCACTGTACATTACTGTTAGCAATTTTCCAACATCCACCACTGTCTCTGTTATGTTATCAACCCTGCGGCTAGTTAACGGCATTCTACTTTATTAGCCTTGATCAGAGATGTTACAGACTTTATTAGATGTTATCACTCATGGTAAGCGTTAGCGCCCCAATCACACATGCTCTTCACATAAACATCTTTTCGTTAGTGGTGCTACATGGTTGCCACTATTTTTCATCTAATGTTGTTACCAATGAATGCCATCTTTTGCACAGGAAGGGAGTGGGGGAATGCGGGTTCCAGAAATACTATAGAGGCCTCGGTGTCAAAGGCGGAAGTAGTAAGAACACGCTACTTTTGTCCTTTACCTTACCGTTAACTCCCATTTGCCGCTAACATTCAATGAGTAACATTATCGGTCCCATACGTTTATTATATCATTTGCAGAATATAGTCAGTGACGCCATACCCTCGTTCTCACTCGGTCTAACACAAGGTCAGCAGGGCAAAATTAGCACTGAAAGTAAACTAATCCCGCCCCAGGACGCCACTCGTAAGAGTAAGAGGCCGCAGACTAAATCCTCTAGGCTGGACGACGACAAATATGATTGTGGTAAGAGAATTAAGTCAATCATTGGCCACCAAACAGCGGAGGAAATCGACAATGAGACAAGGATGGAAGAGAGGTTCGATGCCGCCATGAAATCGCTAACTAGGTTTTCTTCTTCCCGCTTAAACCCCTATTTTTCATTTACGTTCTATGGATTGCCAACGCTGACGCAATTGCTCATGTAGGTAGCGTCAGTATGGGGACGTCGTTTGTATCAGCCAAGGAGATCAAAGAGTTGTTGGAGTTAGCCAAACCTACACCAGCTAAGGTTGGTGACCTGTATTCTATATTTTCAAAAGATAGGTAAAAGGAACCATTGATGCGCTAACACGCTAATGTTGAATGTGCAGCATTAGGAGATGACAAATATGAGAAATGGTTGACGTCGCTAACTTTTCCCACCCCCTCCCCCCATGTTTGTAGGTCGTGGATGCTATGCAAACTGAGTCGGCGCATCTTGCGGGCCGACGAGAGCGACGGATTGCCCCTTCGCGTAGACGCGCTTGACTCCAGT